CTGGTTGTAACCTTTGCTTATCTGGGTGATAATTGCTGGTGATTGATTGCTGGTGAGGCGATCTTCTGGTCTTTTGTCTCTTTTAGACTCCACACTCCCTTCACCTGCCTATCTCCCCCCATCTCTGCCCTTTTGGCTGCCCGCCTACCTGCTGCTGCCAGCTGCCCCTCCCACCCAGCCTTGCCCACCTGCCACACAGCACACCACTACTGTACTGACCAGAGCCTTCTTTTGTGCCACCTTCTTTTGCAGCAGTTCAGCTCGGGCTTCTCTCGCACCCCACCCAAGGCCTCTGTGCACCAGCCAGGTGTTCATGCTCTGCCTATGGCCTTCTTTCATGAAAGAAGCCTGGCATGTGAAACAAGGCCCTGGCTGCACCGGCACAGAAGAAGGACCCACCCCACCTTCTTTCACATGCCAGGTTTCTTTTGCGAAAGAAGGCCCTGGGTAGGGCATGAACAGAGGCTCTGAGCAGAGCGCAAGAGAAGTCCTAGCTGCATCAGCATGAAAGAAAGCCCCAGCCGGGCGGTGGAGGCAGCTAGCGGCAGCGGTTAGGCAGGTGGTCGAAATACAGTCATAAATATGAGTGGGTCTGCATTTTGTTCACGTAACCACAGGGTTGCTGCAATGGCCGGAACTTTGAAGACCAGTAGTAAGTCCCTTCATTCAGCGCTGTCATCACTTCAAATGGTCACTGAATGAACAGACGTTAAGATAGGATTATCTGTACACTTCTCTTCTCTTAGCCTTCCTGTCTGGACAGGTATGTAGTGTGATACAGCATTAAATGAAATGGACTTTGTTTCCAAGTCATGCTTTGCTTGTGAAGCATTGAGTTATTTATCTTGAGGATGAAACTGAGAATTCATTGTAGTCTTCCTGTTAGTTTTTTAATAAAGCTTAGTGTTTCACTAGCTCCTATCTTAACAATATTATCTCACTTGTTACCAGAAAACAGAAGAATCTAGAACACCATTGAAACAGAAGGATCAGGATGAACCAGAGGAGCTGGACTTTCTTTTTGATGAGGAAATGGAACAGATGGATGGTCGTAAAAACACCTTCACTGATTGGTCAGATGAGGATTCAGACTACGAGATTGATGACAGGGACGTGAATAAAATTTTGATTGTAACCCAGACACCCCCTTATCTGCGCCGTCATCCAGGGGGAGACAGAACAGGCAACCACACTTCCAGGGCAAAGATGAGCTCAGAATTGGCCAAAGTGATCAATGATGGACTATATTACTATGAGCAGGACCTGTGGACAGAACAATTTGAGCCGGAATATTCTCAGATAAAGGTGAGAATCAGAATTTATTATTCTACTCCAGGTGAAATGAGTATAATTTAGATGGGACTAAGCAAAGGTCTTAAGTGCATTATTAGAGCCTGTACCTAATATACTAATACAAAACCATTTTGCTCCCCCACCTGTATGAACATGTGTATCAAGAGAACATACCAATGGTAGATTCAGCAAGCAGTTGTTTACCCAGAGTCCATGGCTGACTTCAGCCATTTCTTAGTTGGGGTCCATTCATTCATTGATCAGCTTCATCACATCCATCTTAATACCTTGGAATGCCTTATCTTTCACCTTGTCACATATCATGGGTCAGGAATTGATTATAAATGGATTTATTTATGAATATCAGCTCATCTGCAGATACATTTCTACTCTTAGTGCAGCTTTCTTTTGATTAGAGCTGTTCTCTTTAAAAGCCAGTATACTCTCAGGCATGTGCATGTATTTTTTGGAGATACTGTGTGATAAGCCAACCATTAACCATGTTTGCAGAGTGCTTTGGAAAGAAAGTTCTGCTAATTGTCATGTTTCCTACTGTCATACAGATTATTATCTCAAGCCATTTGATCATTCTTGGTGACAGAATATTTTTCTTGTCCTTTCTAGGCATGCATGAGTATTAAAGGCTTTTTTAACCCCACGTTAGTGGGCAGATATTTCTTTGGGTTTGTTGCAGTGACTTATTTTTTTCTTTTAATGTAGCTATTATGGTGGTTATTTCTGTTTTAATGATAGCTGTATTGTACACCTACTATTGTACACCTATTGTACACTTCAGGTGGTATAGAAATAGTATAGATAGTAAACTGATTTTTGGAGAACAGTTTTCCTTCTTCTCTACTAAGGTTCTATATTCTGATCCTGAAAATGTGAGGGCAGCGTTGCTACATTTATTTCATGTCACTGGAGATGAAAGCAGCCAGCTTCTGTTTATAGATTTTAAACAACAAAAATTACCATCAGTTTAAATTCTATAAGAGAATGCTGTTACCTTAAATTGATCTCTTTCGATCAGGGAGCATGTCAAACCCATATCTTTCTTTTTGTCACTTAGAACTTTTAAATGTGATGTTTAGTTTGTATTTGTTGAATTACTGGTTACAAATTTTCATCACCTTCACCTATAATCTAGATCGGTGATGTTTGTTCTTGTATATGCCAGCATTCTAATATACATATATTCAACCAGAAGTGACTATTTATATGTGACCCTAATCATGTCTATTTCCAAATAGAAATTATATTCAGGAATTTCTTTTTTCAGCTTTCTGTGCTATCCTTGAACTTGCAGCTTATGCTGCTTTATACTACATTTTTCCAGTCCTTCTCTGCAAAGCAGATCCTTATATAATTCTGTTGTTCTGCTATTCTGCCCCTCTAATTTTTGGTTGCTTCTTCCTATGTTGGACATAGTCAGAAGCACTGATTTGTAGACTATTGTTGGGCTGTGTGTAAAAACAAAATAATTGGTGTAAATCCTGATGCTAAATAATATCTTTTTACTTTTATTTTTGGAAATATGGGAGAAGATGCTTAATTATAGGCCCAAGGTACCATTTGCTGTAGTAGAGCTAGAATTTTATAATCATCGTCATACCTTTGGTGACATCTTTTGACTGTATCTTTATGTTAGGCTACACAAAGATTAATTTGTACTTTCAGTCAACTATTCCCTAAAATTGTAATGGTTCATCTTATTCTGTCAAGTCTGCTGTCTTTGTAGAAGTAGTAACTTCTCCCTACAAGAATGTTGGATATGTTTGAGCTTGCTGGGATAAAAGGATCTGGCAACCAAAGTTTTGTGGGAGTATTAATTAATTTCACAATAGGTATTGAACAATCTTCAAAATTGGGAACGTATTAAAACAAGCAAGATGATTTTTGCTAGCCACAGTACTGTTTTGGTAGGACACATGGCACTAAATTGGGCAGGTAAATTTGGAAGCTCTTGCAATATTTCAGGACTTAAAAGAAGACCCTAAACATGGATCTGTAGTTAAATTTGTGATGCTTTCCAGGCTTTACTCCATAATGTGGAGAGGAAGTCAGAACCTTACTTCCATGAGTAACTTTTAATAACTTCTTACCTGTTTCTCGTTTATGTGGATGGGAGGCAGACATAAAAAAAGAACATCTGCACAATTACATTAATTTTAGCCTTATATGGAATTCCTTAACTAAACTGTACAGAGGCTTTGTTTTGGAATTCTGATGATTCATCTTATACCGAGATGGTGAGTTATATGATCTGGTGATATTTTGAAACTTCATGTGCAGTTATTCCTGATAGCCACCTGTTTGGGGAGATACTTTGTATGTCCCCAATTACTGTGAGGGTCCCCTATTACTGAAAGAATTACTTGTGGAGGTTTTGGTACTGCTTTGATTTAATAGATGGAAAGTATAAATCTCTTCTGGGCATGTATTTTAATTTCCATTTGTGATCTTTTGAAATGCAGCAAGAAGTAGAAAACTTCAAGAAGGTGAATATGATCAGCAGAGAGCAATTTGACACTCTGACCCCTGAGCCTCCTGTTGATCCAAATCAGGAAGTTCCTCCAGGACCACCCAGGTTCCAGCAAGGTACGGGCCCACAACAATCCATCTACTAAACTCCAGTAGAAGGAGTCTTCCCCATGGAATCTTTTGACTATTCAGCCTTCACTGCTGTATTTTTAATATGCTGCTTTCTGTTTTGGGGGGGTTAGTTTTTCTTACTTGTAAAGCATCTAGAAGGACTTCTTATTTTATTTTATTTATCGAATTTATATGGCCACCCATCTCACACAACGTGACTCTGGGCGATGAACAATAAAAATCTTATCTTTATTTCATGGCCCAAATCCATCATTTTATGCTTGCTTTTTAAAATTGTTGCTTTTACTTCTTTCCCCTAAAGGGGATTGGAAAGCACTGTGTCTGAGCACGGATGCTAATTTTTTTATTTTTTGTGTATAAGCACAGTTTAATTGTTACCATTTTTTTTTCATTGTAGTTCCAACTGATGCTCTGGCAAATAAACTCTTTGGTGTGCCCGAACCTTCAACCATTGCCCGATCTTTGCCAACAACAGTGCCAGAATCCCCAAACTATCGCAATGCAAGAACTCCTCGGACCCCTCGTACACCTCAGCTGAAGGACCCTACACAGACGCCCCGGTTTTACCCAGTGGTTAAAGAAGGCAGATTGATAGATGCCAAGGTAAGACCTGCACATCAGCTTCTTCTGTGTGCCTATGTGTTTAATAGATATTGGATATCTCTTGACTCAGCTTGAATTCTTTGTGAAGCTTCAATATTCATAGAGAACTATCATGTATTCCTTCTGCTTCTTATAGACACCCCGGAAAAGGAAAACACGGCATAGTTCAAATCCTCCAATGGAATGCCATGTTGGTTGGGTGATGGATTCCCGGGAGCATAGACCTCGAACAGCATCCATCAGGTACCAAAAGACATAGTGATTTGCATTGAAGTTGAAGAACAAAAGTTTTAGGAAGCCTACTGAAAAGATTGATCGCATGAGTTCTCTTCTTCCTCATAAGGAAGCCCCCGCCCTTTGGAATATTCTCCCCCCAGAGGTGCTAATGCCCTCTTTACTCAAAATAATTCCTTAATTGGTATTTAAGACTTTCTCAGAGACCTTGTCAGATTGAAATGACTGTAATATGTCTGTATCTACTTCTGAACATTTGAGCAGTTGACTCCTTTATTGATATGATTTTTAAAATTTATTTACCTAGTTCCAGTCCTTCAGAAGGCACCCCAGCCATAGGCAGCTATGGCTGCACCCCACAGTCATTGCCTAAGTTCCAGCATCCTTCCCATGAACTCCTGAAAGAAAATGGCTTCACACAACATGTCTACCACAAGTATCGCCGGCGCTGCCTTAATGGTGAATTCTGTGGATACCACTGAAGTTGTTATGTGTTTAATTCTTGTGCAGGCGTAGTGAATGGAGCAGGCAGTTTGCTTCATGTCTTGGCCAAATTTAGCTTCTTGGCAGTGATATTCTTTGCAGGCCTTCATTATTTGAAGTAGTAATCTGTAGATCAAATCTGCACGTATTGCAGTGAGTATGGCTTCCTGTGAATCAGAGAAAAAATTCTCTGTTCTGCATGGTTATCTGTTCACTTGTATAAAGCTACAGGCAAGCATGTGATTTAGTCAGTTTTAATTGAAGTTTTGAAGATAAACTTTTCCTTTCATTTAAAGCCAGGCTTCTTCCGTTCATTATATGATGACATTTAAGATTGCAATCCCTTGGCTGCTTTATAGATGACGTTGTAAGTTACGAAATCTCTCTCTGTCTGGCTTCAAAATCCAAAGGACTGGGCATTCAGCATGCAAGGGGATAGGCAGATTCTTAATTTTGTGTATGTGTGTATAATAGAAGCATAATGATGGGGTTGTGTGTATTCTGTCTTTAGGACAAAATGAAGTATTTTAATTGGCATACACTTTAAAATAGTGCTAAAGAGTTTTCTGTTTTCTTAACCAGAACGGAAACGATTGGGCATTGGCCAGTCCCAGGAAATGAATACTCTCTTTAGATTCTGGTCATTTTTCCTTCGTGATCACTTTAACAAGAAAATGTATGAGGAATTCAAGCAACTGGCTCTGGAGGATGCAAAAGAAGGGTACAGGTGGGTCCACATCTGTTTGTTGCATCATCATGGTTGGCATTTTAAAGACGGAAAGGGGAAATATGGATTGTTCCTTAGGTAGCAAATATGGTGACAGCCCTTAAAGAGATATTAGATGAGTAATTACTTGATGAATAAACTCTTGTGAGAAAAATTAGAGCATCTGAAAGAAGTAGTGATGGTACAGATGGTATGGTCTTGCAGGTATGGACTGGAGTGCCTCTTCAGATATTATAGTTATGGACTGGAGAAGAAATTCCGACCTGACATATTTAAGGATTTCCAAGAAGAAACTATAAAAGATTTTGAGGCTGGTAAGTGATGTCTTCTGATAGCACAAATAGTGGCTGATATTGCAGGGGATTTTTATGCCAATGAATTGTGGGGCATTTTTTCCATTAATTATGTAATCCTTCTTTAGGATAAATAGTTAGAATTTTGACTATACTGCGATTCCAAAACTGTACTGTGAAAGGACATTTTGAGCATTATGCATAGGGAAAACTGCATTAAACATCATGAAGCATACTGGAGGAGTTCCTGCCTTCTGAGGCCAAGATTACCTTTAACTTTATGCTCTTTTCTCTCTGCTTTCCTGTCCCCTCTGTCTTTTTCTCCATCCCTATTCTCTACACATATTATCAAGTAATACATATACACTGAAATGTGTAGCTAATAAAAAGTCTGTTCTGATGTCTGCTAGTTTGCCAGTGTTTCCTCATTCCAGTATTTGCTGAAATGAAAGTATGGCTTCCTATTTCTTTGTTAGATGAGACTTACTCTTAGCTTTTTGGCTCTTTTTAATAGGCCAGCTTTATGGGCTTGAAAAATTTTGGGCCTTCTTAAAATATTCCAAAGCCAAAAACTTGGACATTGACTGCAAACTGCAAGAATACCTCAGCAAATTCCGCCGCCTTGAAGACTTCCGAGTTGATGTGGGTACAAGTAACTGTTTCCTCCTTGTAATACAGATATTTGTAATGATTGCATTTTCTCCAACTTTTATGGCTATATCAGGCATAGTGTGCGCAGAATTTGTTAATAATAATGTGCTTGAAACAGTATGAAGTGATAGGGAAGGTTCTGCTTGTAAATTAATTGTAATCACTGGCTGGGTAACTTTGGGCCAGTCGCACACTCTCAGTCCAACCCATCTTACAGAGTTGTTGTTATGGGGAAAATAGAAGACAAGAAAGAGAATTAGATATGTATGCTGCCTTAAGTTTTTTATTTTTATATACATGCATGCATGCATGCATGCATACATACATACATACATACATAGGTGGGATAAAAATCTAATAATAATAATAGCCCATTCATATATGAAAGCTGCTAGTTTTGAAGACTTGAAGACTTTAAGAATTAAATAAAACTCACTTCCAAACCAGAATTGGAAACCATGTTTTGAAGTGGTTTACCACTCCTAATGGCTCATTCTAGTTTGTCCAGTTCAGAGATGGCAAAGTTAGTGTGCTGTAGGTCACTACAAGTTCAACCCTCATTTCTTAATAAGCCAGGCTATAAATTGTCATGACCTCTGAAGAATGGGCTTATGCATTGTGTTACACCATAATGTCAGTGTTTAATATTGGCTTACTGTATTGTATGATCCCTACTAATTGTAGTTTATTTGGTAAGCTATGATTGAACAAACTATGACAGAACTATACTGAACTCATCCTAAATCTGTAGCTTCTGGGTGAAGTTAGTTGTATAATAGATGAATTACAGCCAAATGTGACCCAAGAGTTTGCACCAGACTTTGGCTAATCAGAAGGCAGATATGACCCTAGTTTGTAGGTGGATAGGAGATGGTCAGGAAATCCTATAGCATAGACTGAGAAGTTGAAAAAACATACTGGAAGAAGGCAAAGGAAAGTTACTCCCTTATTATTGTCAGAAAACCTTGTCTGGATAGATCCATGTAATGCCCAAGAGTAAATCTTGCCTGGAAGAGGTCTTTCCCTTTAGAGAATGCTTGCCTCAACACGGTGCTCCAGATATTTCAGATTACAAGTCTTACTGTGCTCTTTGATTTTTGCCTAAAGTTCTTTGCTAAATGCCTATAAAATCTTCCCCTTAACATTTCAAAGGAGAATGAAAAGACTTTAAGATTTCAGTTTTGAAAGTGTGGGCAAAGCAACAAGTACTAAGAGAAGCTGGGACTTTGAGGTAGTTTTACTTTAAAAAAAATACTGTAACAAACAAAGCTCTGTATGTTCTTTTTAAATATATTTAAATAATCTTGACAGCAATATTGAGATGCTACATAAATCAGTTTTAATGGTTTGTTTTTTTTGTTTCAGCCTCCTATAGGGGAAGAAGGTAGCCACAAGAGATATGCAGCAACAGTAGGAGTAGATGGAAGGAAGCGATACCCATCTCAGTCTTCTAGCAAGGCTGTTGGCCATACTCCATCCAGTCAAATGTCTGCCTCATCCAGTCAAGTCCCCAACTCATCAAGCCAGGAAGATGCCAAAAACCTGAGCCAGCCACATGCAGTTTCCACAGCCACGGTGGAAACCCAAACAGTGGGGAAGTAGGCGCACTAGAACTACCAGTGAAAAAGGGGGCAGGGAGTTGGAATGTAAAAGTCCAAGACCAGGCTGCTTGCGGGAGGTGGGGATATACCGTGCATATGATTTTTCTTGTTGGCTGGAAAAACAAGATGATCCAAGTTGAATGCATCCTTTTCCTCGCTGTGATTAAGTCATTGATTGGAGCCAGACCTTCACATTTTCATGTCTTAGCGCCTTTCAGGGGTTAGGTTGGGTTGGGAAAGGGGAGATTTTTATAAATATAAATATATATTATATATATATAAATATATATATATATCAAGTTTTAAATTATTGATAGAAGTTTGTTTGGATAAACCAAAATTATTCTGCATCATGCAGCCTCACAATCCAGCTCCTTCTCATCCCTCTGAACACTTGACAACTATGCAGCCCACTTGGTAAGCTGGAAGTTTGGACTGAACAATTTAGTGTCATTTGGAGAACTAGCCTTTGGGCTTTCCAAGTTCAGCAGGCACCGCCCCTTCTGGATATAGCAATGCACAAGAGGAGTCTCTGCTACCATCACATGTACCACCATTACTTCTGTTGTGGCTCCTTCTATGCTGCTCATCTTTTCCATCAGAAACTGACGACTGGAAATGAACCAAAGGACCCTGGCTGAAAGTGGGCCCACTTTACATTGGGCTTGCCCAGTTCTTTTGCGTGATGGGTAGAACATAAACTTGCACAGTGTCTCCCCTCGCATAGGAATGCTAAGACTTTGCTAAAACAGCTTTCACTTAAAAAAAAAAACACAAAACACACAAAAAAACTTGTTTAAAAAAAAAGTCTGTTTCTTTGCTTCCTTCCTTGAAAATAATAAGTTGCCTTATTGTGGAGTTGGGAACTTGTAGGCATCCCTGACTTGAGCAAATTGGGAAAACGGCATCTGCTTGGGACTCAGCCAGACTGTGATATATTTCTGTTCCCTGTTCAGTGACTCTTGTCTGCAGTAGCTGGTGACTGTCTTCCCTTTAACCCAGCTGTGATCTGCATCAACTGGAACAATACTGTTGAGATCTAGCTGAATGTTGGTTCAAACCACACGGACAGCTTCTCTCCAGAGCAGGGGATACTGGGGCGCTTCAGCCTGCAACTTCTGCTATTGTGTAGTTGATGCTGATGTATATGTATCAACTGTTTTAGCGTCCTTTCTGCTACAACTGCATCTGCCATTGCTTCACTTAGACCTCCAGGTGCACCGCTATTTTCCTCCCTATCCCACCTGGGCAGGCCAGGAACTTGTTTGTTGATTTCATGAAATCTTCCTATCCCAGAGCAGGCAGGCAGGTGTGCCAGGAAAAGAGTAACACAGAGGGAGGATCTAAAGGCACGCACCCTTGCTTTTCATCTATGTGGTTGAAGAATGTGTCTACAGGAAAACAGCTTTAACCTAAGCAAAGTAGGATTTTTATGTCTGATGGTTTCCAAATTTGAGGTAGCTTACTAGTGTTAATTACTTGAACAGAATTCCCTTTCTGTATTCTTTCTAATAACAGATATGATAACCTGCCTCCCTTCCCTGGAATGACCATGTAGCCAAGGAATCAGCTGTTTAGACTGTTCACTAGCTACAAGTATCACTTTTGATGTTCTTGCATCACCCCCCCCCCAAAAATCCATGAATTAGAACCATGTCAGCTGTGTCATAGAACTTTATACAAAGCACCAAGTTTATCTTGGCTGCTATTGGGCTAACTGCTGGAACTTTTGGAGGTTATTCACATGGCTGTAACAGTTGAAAACAGCTGTCCTGAACTATAGGAGTGAACAGCAGAGAAGAAGGAAATAAATACATGCTACAATTTGTTTCTGACAACCTGGTTTGTTACTTCCTGCATTTTGTTACTTTCTTAGTGTACTATCCAAGTTCTGTAAGTCAGAGAAATCAGAAGGGGAAGGAAGGTCATTATGCTACCCCTGCTTACCAAAAAGGGATAAATGGTAGCAGAAGGGTACAATACTGTTTATGTGGTCCTATGTACTATGGCTTAGGTTGAAACAGCCCTCTCCTCCCTCCCAAGCATATGCAGAGGCTCCTTCCATAATGCTGAGAACTGATTCCTCTATTCCTTGCACCCCTGACACTTAGGAAAAAAAGGGGGTACCACAACTTTTTTGGGGAGTCTGCTGCCAGAACTGCCAGATGTCTTGGGTACTCCCACATTTTAGAGTTCATGTTTCAGGTATGTCCTTGATATTGACATGCTGGAAAGTACATTGTGAGACAGTAACAGACCATAGGCCCTGCAGTTAGTCATTTGAAGCAGATAAGTGTTAATTTAGTGTTTCAGGGAGTGATATTTGGGCGGTTCATTGATTTATAACTCTTGTGGATGGTTTGGTACTATATACGTAGATACTTGAGATGGGACTTTCTGCCTAGGGTTAGTGCTGCCTGGTGTTACTGCTTTTAGCTATTATCAAGCGTGCTTTAATGGGAGTTTGCTACAGAACGTTCATGGGTGACTGTACAATGCAATGACCATATAAAGCACGCGCTATGGTTCTAGCATGGCTGAATAGCATCAAAGTATTGCTTGCTTTCTTTGCTGTGTCAGTTGTTATAACAAATCTTCATCCTGTCATTAAGACATGAGAAATGAAAATGAGCATTCCATCGTTTCACCAGATGCAATTACATTGTGATACTGAAGAGTATGATGCGTTAGGAGAACCATGCTAAAATGGAACTAACAGTTGGAAATACTGTGGTGGTTTTATGGATTGTCTAAAATCCTTATTGTCCCAGGATTTCACTTTGTAGTTAGGCAAACGGATTGGAATGCATGTATTTTCATTAGGACTACTGCATAAATCTGGGCAACTACAAGATGGCAGCAAAGATATGCAGAAAGACCAGCTAAGTTTACTGCCATTTAGTGGTCATCAGTATTTTTGCCACGCAGATCTGATAGCCCTGAATATCACAGTCACAACATGAAATAAAGCATACATTTGGGAATTATGAGGCAGAAGCAAGTGCTTAGGTGTTTAAAATAGCAAGTTCAACCAATGGATATTTGTTCAAAAGCATTCTTGAAAGCGATTCTGGAAATTTGCTCTGCTGGTAGCTAACCCTGAAGGGTTGGGCTAACAATTATTTGCTTCACTTAAAAGCTCTTCTGAATGAGAACGCTGCTATGCATGGTTATACAAACATTTTTGCAAATGAAAGTTGAGCACTAAGAAGGCAGTAGTAGATTATAGAAGAAAGGTAATTGGTTTAAAAAAAAAACCCTGTAATACCTGTAAAAATGCTACATGAATTTCTCTATACCTGGCAATGTTATGAGGTTGGACTATATAAAGTTTACTGATTGAGAGAAACTCAAGTTATTTGCTACCAAAGGAGGCAGATAAGGTTTACTGATGACAGTGTTTTGCACCAGCTTAGAAAGACATTGGTAGAATATGTTGCAGGCATGTAATTCTAGGCTGCCAGTTTGTCAGAAGGCATGACACCAATCCTATAAATAGTGGAGATTTCCCCAGCAAAGATAGGTCTTGACATTGAATACCTTGTTGGGAAGAGAGCAGGTGCTAATATTAATGAAATTAATCCATTGCGAGTATCCTGTGCTCTGATAACGTGTGTGAAAATACCTTCCATGAGCTTTCTGTGGACAGCTAATGTCTGAGATTACTAAAGCTGAGAAAGTTTCTGTTCCACAGTGCAAAGCAAGCGGCATTTTAAAAATAGTTTTGGTCATCCTCAGTAGGTGTAAACTTTTATGACCAGGTATGAAGGGGAACTTGAAATTTGCTTTGGAACAGACAGGAAAGTAAGTGACCTTTATTAAGTGTTGGTGCTGTCATCTCTCTCTACCCCTTCTTGTTCCTCCTTTGAACTTCCCAGTTATAGTGCAAAGTTTTATACTTGCCCTTCTTGCTCCTGGTAGCTTGATTGTATTATTAATACACAACACCATAACCTTAAAGTGCTGCCATGCATTTTTTTTTTTGTTTACTTGTTTAAACAGGGCTGGGATGGGAGTTATTCATGCCTTTCTTATTTTCTTTTTGTTAAACAATCAAATCTGTTAATACAACAAATTCTGGTATTCTTTGTGTATCCACATCAATCTTCTAAAACTTGGATTTGTCAGTAGCTAAAAAAAAAACAATTAGAAAGGTTTTAAGCGGGAATGGTAGTTAACATTGCTAGATGCCTCCATTATTTTTTTTAAAAATCAGTTTCAAATTAGTAGTTTATTGGGGGTGGGAGAGTTCATCTCAGCAACATGGGTTTGGACACTTTTTTAAAAATCTAAGGATACCTTTTCTGCTAGTTTACATTTTCACTTTCTGAAGACACTTGAACATAGGACCGACTTATCTGTGATGAGCATATGCTATGACTGGATACATGAAAAGGGCATGGGCTTAACCATTCCTGTTTGGTTTTACAGATTTTGTTCTTCCAAGTCTGGCCCTCTGTAGCCCTCCTTTTCTTTGGTGACATTCGTTTTGCATGTATTCATTCTCCCTCACACAAATTGCTCATGCTTTTTGTTTTTGTTCTCTTCTCCACATTATATATCATGGTACAAGAGAATGGCTTGGGCCACTGAGACCCCCACAGCTAAGGGTATGATGTCCTTGATAGAAGTTTTTGCCCTCCAAGACCACTTTCTGATAATAGCATTTATGTGGCTCTGGAACAGGCATGGCCAAATCTTTCCCCTCAGATTGTTGGCTTGTATCCTGCAGTAGTGCACAACCATGATGGTTGGGATTTCCATCCCATGAAACTAAGTCAGCAGAGTTTTAAATGGTAAAGGTTGGAGTTTCATTGGTGTGAAGTCTGTGATAAGCTGCTGAAAACATTGGATGAGCAATCTGGGAAATATGCCATGATTGTTTTGTACGTATAGTTGAAACTCTGTCACAGTAGAAACGAAAATCTGGTATGTCTGCTTTCCATGAGCAGGATGTGTGTGTGTGTGTGCTTGCTCCAGTCTAGCCCCTTGTGCTAAAGACAAACCGAATAAGTTTGTAATCACTTTCAGCTGTATTTATTCTTGAAAAAACTTTAAAAATAACTGTTACCACATATCACCTGGGAGGAAAAGATCTTAATATAGCCTACCGTGCACAATCCCATCTCCCGTTAATAGTATATAATTCTTGACCCATGTGCTAGGATCATCACATTGGGGAGGGGGGAAAGGAAGAGGAAAAATTGTAAAATACTTGAATGAGAGCCTGTATGATAAACAGTAATATTATTCAGAGTATCTGCTTTATAGGCTGATGTGACTCATTATTCTAGTAGTGCTTTAGTCCTTTGTAATTTGTGGTAATTATGCTTTTTCCTTTTTAATACAAAAATGTATAAAAATAAAAACCTCAAAAGACTAGGTAGTTTCATTTTCATTTCTTTGAGAATATGTTCACCGTTCTCAGCCCACTGTGGAAATCCAATCCTATCTTCCATCCTATCTGATTGTATTTTCCATAGGGTAAGACAACTTGATGCAGTGTTGTCAGGTAAAAAATAAGGCTTAATATTAAGCCAGTATTAATAGCTGTTCTGTGTTGAATGTCCCATTGTACCTTTGCTGCAGAATGAGTCTTGACTGCCAGAGTTCAGTTATTTTCAAAACAGTTAAAAATTTGTGGCCAGCTGGAGACCCACACAACTCTTGAGAAATAATGTTGGTGAAAAGTGGTAACAAGAAACAGCATTTCAGATTGTTCAGAACAAAAGAAATACCAGTATACCAGCTTCCTGGTGAAGATAGCAGCAATAAGTCCTAACCAGCAACAAAGAAAAGAGCGCGCTACTCCAAATTTGATTCTGTCTCCAACAAGCAAGTATGAATTCTTACCAGGAAATTGTGATGAGTAGGATGAAGAGGTAGGACTAATGTTTCAAACTGAAAGATGAAATGAATCCTGAAGGGTCTAGTGAAACCTGTATATATTATTCGTGAGCTAATAGAAGAGCCATGTGACTGGAGGAGAGCAAATCTCCTTGCCATTAACAAAGAGGATCCAGGGAACTAAACAGCCTGACATAAATACATGGGAAGATTCTAGAAGAAAGTCAGTTTGTAAGATCCTAAGCTACTAATTACTAGGAACCATTCATGGATTTGTTGAGAACAAGTCTTCCCAAAAGTCCCCAAATTAAGAACAAGTTCAGTTTCCAAGGTCTGTCCTTAAGTCAAATTTGTATGTAAGCCAGAACAGTATTATTGCATAATACTGTATAAGTATTGTGTAATGAACTCAAACCATTGTATATTTAACTCGAATTTTGCTACAAAAGGCTCTTCTTAACTATGGGTCATCTGTAAACTGGCTGTTCTTAACCCAGGGACTGCCTGCATATAGAGTGAAAATACAAGAGAAGAAGGAAGGAGGGGAAAAAATATATTGATTTGGAAAATATAAATATTACATAATAATTTACAAAGTATCTCTGGTTCGATCAGGTAACTTAATAGATTGTAGGACATCATTTATTATTTATTAAACAAATTTATATGACTGCCCAACTCTCACATGGTGACTCTGGGTGGCTTGCAGAATTAAAACCCATAATACAAAAACCAATGAAACCCCATCCCCCACCCCCCTGGCAGCAACAAACATTTGATTGGCTCCGTATCACCCTGGGGTCCCCGGGCCTGCTGACAAAACCACGTCTTCAGGGCCTTCTGGAAAAGTATCAAGGTGGGGGCCGGTCTTATCTCCGGGGGAATGATATCCCAGAGGGAGGGAGCCACCATGGACAAGGCCCTATTTCTCGGTCCCACTAGATGGATCTCCCTCATTGAAGGGACCTGCAACATCCCCTG